AGTTGACTCTATTTACGAATAAAATTATGAGTTATGAGTTTGTATTATATTTTATCTTAAAAAAAACCTTCATTTTTGTTCAATTTGTGTTGAAATTTTTTATTTTGTTTTGTTTCAGTCTGTTCCCTTTAGGAAGATTTATCGTTACATCTCATTGATTATAACGGTTAGACATTTTGGTAAAAATTTATAGAGAAAAAATGATGCCATTTTTAAACTATAATATTAATAAATCCAAATTAATGTCTTTAATTTTAATAATCATTCTCTGAATTGTATATATATATATATACGTATCACCCATTATTATATTTTTATAATTTGATTTGATTTTCAGGAAATTACAAGTAAATTCTAAGAGGAAAAAATATATGATATGAAGTTGGTTAAAATTTTAAACGTGCGAATGTCTCTGAATTTAAAGATGGAAGTAAGAACTCAACGATCGAATGAAAATTGGTTAAATTCGACTTGGGTAAATGGTATTGACGGGTAAAAAAAGTACAAATAAATAATTTTGAATCGTGGTATTTCGCTTGTACAGTTTTATACTCTATGGTTTAAAACGGTCATGGCCATGTTCATTACGTTGACGTCGTTGGTTTGTTAAAGTATGGTAGAATTGCCCGGTTAATTTATTACAATTTTCAATAATTTTAGAATAGAATTTATAACATGTCAAGAATTAATCAGTACTTATTATGGTTTGCTAACGAAAATTGTGATTTTAGACTTCCCGTAAGTTGTAAATTAAATGTTGTGTTCATTGTTTATATGTGTTATGTTTGACCGCTTTTTTTTTTTTTTTTTTTTTTAGGAGATTCAATCGATTATACAATTGTACAATATTTCTGTTAAATGGATTGAAGGACCCAATGACAGCCCATTTTGGGTAGTAGAATTGTCATACGAAGATGCTTGTACAATTGCAAGTCGTTCGGTGTTACTTCGAAGCGTTATCAAATTATGGGGATTTGGAAAAACTACCGACGAATTACACGACAGTATAAAAAATTATCCATCCGAATTAATTAGTTCAAAACTTAAAAGTGATTTATCATTTTGTGTCAATGTGGAAACATTCGGTAAAACATTTACAATGAAAGAAAAAGTTGATAAAATTGAACTTTTTAATTATTTGCCAGCTCAGGACCAGTTAAACTTAATAATCAGATGTGACACTTTATTATAT